AGTCCTTGAGAATTAAGAGGGAGTGAGAAGGTAGGAGCCAAACAGGGTTTCCGCCTAGAGAGTAATAGTGAAAATAAGTTCTACCTAGCTGTGTGGACTGAGCTAGGTCCCTCCCCAGGAAGACTCAGACCTTGACACAGGAACTTCCTCTCCCAACCGCTGTCTCTCTGTGTGCTGTGCCCTCCATGCTCCCAGCCTCCTGCTGAAAGCAGGCTTCTGTGCACTTCTGAGCCCATGTGGGGCTAAGTTGGTGGAGGCATGAGGGCCCCTGGAACACTACTCAAGGAAGCTTTTTGAGTATGAATTTCTCCCAAAATGCTGATGACTCTTACTGGGCCCTTGTTACCCAGAACTCTCCATATGTCATCACCCCAAGTGCTTCCTCCTTTCCCTACAGGGCTTCTGTGAACCAAAAGGAGGGAGGCCTCGGTCCCCCCACCCCCCACCCCAACCCTGCCGTTTGAGCAGCACTCTTATTTCCTGTTTATAACAGCATTGCTACCCTCTTGGGAAATGGCTTAGGAATTGTGGGAGGATGGGCGGTGGTTGAGGTGGAATCTGAGAGGGTCCGCCCTGATTAGCCTCTGCTCTGGGCCCTTGAGATTGAAAAGGAAGGAAGGAGGAAGCAGTTCCCCCGCTGCACTGTGCTGGTTCTAGAGCTCCATTGGGGGCAGGAGTGAGCACCAGTCTGGTCCTCTGTGGAGCAGGGGAGGGTATGTGTTAGGTATGAGCTGGAAGTTGGAGTGGGTGCTGTCATTCTCAGTGCAGTCTGGACACTTGGGTCCATGGTAGGTCAAATAGAATTAAGTAGCTCATTTGTTGTAACAAATCTTTGGGCACTGCTTAATATGGGACTGGTGGACGAGTGACCCTTGGCCCCTGACAGATCATCGCATCCAACATATATATGATGTTTTTACCACTTGCCCTAGTTGACCTACAGGTATTTATTAAGATGTGCATGTGTGCTGACTTGTCCATAACAGAGATACAAGGGGAAGAAAATGAGGATGAGATAAGTGGAAATTAGGTCTAATATTTCCTCTACCTGTTCAGCATTGTGCTGAGTGAATCCCATTTGAGAGTGCTAGCATGTATTGTTGCTTTCACAGGTAACTTGCATGGTTCAGACACCACTTCATATGTTAGCTCTGGGGAGGGATCGTTTTTGAGTTAGGACTATCTATGTGAAAGAGGAAGCCAGGCAGATAAATGCTGTCCTTGAATAATTAGTATATGAGCCCCAGCCAGGCCAGACCAGAGTTCTTTGCCTTACCTGCCCTCTTTGTAAAGGCTACCCAGTTTGCCTGGGGTGGTATTTAAGGTTCTTCATGTTCCTGTGCTGTGGCAGGTTACTGAGAAGTAGGGACAGGGGAGGCCTGTGCACTAGGCACCTGCTGTTATTCAGGCCCTTGGTGGCTTTCTTTTTTTCTTTTTAGTTGTTGACAGAGCTTTATTTTATTTATTTTTATGTGGTGCTGAGAGTCGAACCCATTGCCTCACACATGCTGGGCAAGTGTGCTTCCGCTGAGCCCAGGCCCCAGCCCCTCTTTGTGGCTTTCATAGACTTCTATCCATGTTGCATTTGATCCTGTCAACAGCATCTGAGGACAAAAAGTTCTTTCCCTACCAGGAAGACCAGAGATGGAGGTCTCTGTTGAGTGATGAGTGTCAGAGCAGGCCCTGGGGCTTGCTTCCCGGAATGGCTGCTGCTGCCTCCTAGAAAGTTTGCCTAGACTGGGCTGGAATGTATTTTTAAAGTGAGATAGAAAATGGCAAAGCATGTGCAAAGCCCTGTTCATCCCCAGTTCCAAAAAAGAAACAAACAACAACAACAACAAAACAAAACAAAGAAAAGACCCCAACTGAAAGTTTGCCTGGGTATCTGCCTGTCTTGCCATCCCCTGGTAAGGGGCCTGGAGGTCAAAACCTGAAGAGTAGGATGACTTGCCCTTCTCCTTGGCTTTGCCCTTTGCCCCACACAGGGATTTGCCCTTTCCATCTGTTTGATCCTGCCTCAGCTTGTTGGAGAGTGGTGGTCTGTGTAGGTGCTAGTCTCTTGCTCAGAAGGTGCCTCCAGGAATGGGCTTGCTCTGAAGTCTTACAGTAGGTCTGGGGGGAGGCCTGAGAACCTGAAGTTACTTGCTTAGAGGCAGGAAATATCTAGGAAGTTAATCTTTCAAGCTCATTGCTTCAGAGCTTTTATTTCGTTTCTTAAGTGTTCATCTCAGTCACCCTGAAGTCTTGATAATAACAACTGTGTGTTCTTGTGTGAATTCTGTATCTCCTTTTACTCCTTTGTGACTGGTTTATCCTTACTATAAGGAGCGAGGAGTCAGTTTTGACAGGGTTTGGCGCTAGGCTTATGGTTTATAAAAGGGACCTGGAAGTTTCAGAGAGACTCTTAGCTTGGAGCTGGAGCTGTCCTTCCCTGCCTGGGGACCCAGTAGCTTTGGTGAGTTTCCTTGACAACAGGCGAGATAAGCTAAAAATAACCTTATGTAGGGCCTTCAGTGCATGTGAGAGTGCCCTCTTGCCTGTTGTGCTTGGGCTTAGTTCCTATGGCTTAGTTCCTATGCTACTGGAACACATTTGTGGCAACTTTGTGTATGTGTGTGTGTTGGGGGGTGGCTTAGGTGCTCTCATTTTGAAGGCCAGAAGTTTAGAGGTCAGAGTTAGATAATCACGCAGTATTTTTACCTTGGAGTATTAGTGGTTGCAGGTGGGGTGTGAGTATAAATTTTAAGAATGGGAATTGGGGGCTAGGGATATAGTTTAGTAGTAGAGCACTTGCCTAGCATGTGCTAGCCCTGGGTTTGATCCCCAATACTGCAAAATAGAAAAGAGAATTACAAGACCAGGAAGCCATTTTCAATGTCTGGTTTCCCTTTTGCCTAACTGGAGAGGGACAATCCTGGAGGTGTTGTTGTGTTTTAGAACCTCTGGAGCTGTGGAGTTTGGTTATCTCTCTTTAGAGAATCCCTCCACCTAAGGAGAGCCCTTAACTAGGTTTCTTTCCTAAGATAAAGACACCAAAGTACAAAGGCATAAGGATCACTTGTCCAGAGCCACCTGGCTCTAGTTTGCAGAAGCTGTGGCTCCTTCCCTACTGAGGAGGACATATCTAAAGCCAAAGCCAGCTTTCTGTTTTGTAACAGCATTCTGCTTTAGCTAAGGCCCTCTATGGTATAAATTAACTTAGAAGTAGCTTTGTCAGGGCAGGAACTGAATCTCTCTTTACCATACCTGGAATTAATTCCTGTCTTTCTCCATCCTTCCATCCATTAGTAAACATTTGGCTGTGGGCCAGGGTTGGGGAAATAATGAGAACAAAATGTTGTATTCCAGTCTTAAGAGAGCTTATGGTTATCTGGGGGAGACAGTTACAAAGAAGTTTGCATTGTGGCCAGCTCTGATAGGCAAGAGGTCTGAGGGTTAGGAGAACATCAGGTTAAACCAACAAATTGACAGAAAGTACTGAAGTCTGAGATCATAAACAAATTCTACAAATTAATATAAAAAAAGAAGCAGAAAATTCAGCAGAAAAAAACTGACCAGTAGTTTGATGAACACTTCAAAAAAGCAGATACCCAAATGACCAATATACATTCAAATAGTGCTAATATCATGTGTTAGTCACTGGGGAAATTCAAATTTAGTTCTTCTGGGCCAGGCATGGTGGTGGTGCATGCCTGTAATCCCAGCAGCTTGGGAGACTGAGGCAGGATGATCACAAATTCAAAGCCAGCTTCAGCAATTTAGCAAGGTTCTAAACAACTTAGCGAGACCCTGTCTCAAAAATAAATAAAAAGGACTAGGGATGTGACTCAGTGGTTGAATGCTCCTGGGTTCAGTCCTGACATTAAAAAAAAAAAAAAAGTTACTGACCAGGCATGGTGGTACATGTCTGCAATCCCAGCAACTCAGGAGGCTGAGGCAGGAGGATTGCAAGTTCAAGGCTAGCCTCAGCAACTTAGTGAAGCCTTAAGCAACTTAGCAAGACCTTGTCTCAAAAACATAAAAAAAGAGCTGGGGATGTAGCTCTGTGGTTAAGTGCCCCTGGGTTCAATTCCTGATACAAATCAAAAACAAACAAAAAAACCCCCAAAATCTCTCTGAAGTAGGATGGTTCCTAGGATTCAGAGTAGCCTGATACTCGGGTGGAGTTTGTGATTGGCATGGCTCTGGCCCCTTCCCCAGGTTGGGGGGCAGGGTCAGTCCCTGCAGGTGTTTCATTTGTGGTGGGGCCTGTCTGGCAGCTCTGTGTGAGTGACATTGTGGAGTCTGCTGATGCTCAGGGTCTGTTGGCAGGCAGAAGACAGAGCTGCAACAGTCTAGCCAAGCTTTGATTTGAGTGAGCCAGTAGGTGTGGCTTCCACACTGGTGGTCTTCTCACAGGATGTTCTTGCCAAGTCCAGAGCATTCTGGACTTTGAGGCATTGTGTATCCCTGGGGGAAAAAGCCCACACACTGGGTTTCCTCTGAGAGAATCTGGTCAGTGATGCTGGCCACTGTGGCAGTCCTGAGAGTCTATAGTGTGCCATGGCAGAGCAGAGGTGGTGCCCTGTGAAAGTCAGGTCTTGGTGGAGAGGATTTTTCAGAGATGGATGGATTTTCCTGAGCGCCTACAGCCCAGTGCTTTTGGGGATACACTTGGGCCACCTATGCCAGTGCAGGCTCGGGGATAAGCTCCCAGAAAATATATCACAGCCTCTTTTTTGCCTTCTTTGACTACAATTGATCTCTCTTGTATCCCCCACCCAGGGGGCTTAAACAGATTGCATGTGGTGTAGATGCATGCTTCTCTTCCAACAGAGTGCGGCCACCTTGGCATATGTCAGAACACTGTTGAGATTGCTTTGTGTCCCATCTGTTCTTTTACTTGACTGCCAGGCCCTGTTTGGGGTCTTTTCACACAGCTCTCTCAGAAGAGGCACACCCTTCTCAATAGTCTGTTTGGCATTTTTGATTGTTTCCTCTTCTGTGTTTCTGCCATGTAGGAATCAGAGTCAGAAGCAAAGGTAGATGGAGAGACTGCATCAGACAGTGAGAGCCGAGCGGAACCAGCTCCCCCGCCAACCTCCGTAGATGACACCCCAGAGGTCCTCAACAGAGCCCTTTCCAATTTGTCTTCAAGGTAATGTGGCTCAGTGAGGCAGATATTTGTGGGGGTCTTTGCACTATGTTTAACATGCACTATGTTTAGTATGCCATGGAATACTTTAGGTCTTAGGATTTCTGGTTCAAGGTTTCGTTTTCTCTCTTTCATATACTTCCACTATGAACAGTTCCTTAAGTTCTCTAGGAAAAGGTGGGAAACATTTCAACTTATTTGAATCCTTGGGTAAAATTTTTGGCTCTTGAGAAGTTGGTCCTTCTAAAAACAGTTTTGTGAGTAGATGAAAAACACAAATTATAAGACCCCAAAGCATTATCTAAAAGCATTCCTATGCAGGCCTGCCACCTTGTCCCTTGGAGAAGCTGTATTATGCAGTGGTTAAGGGCATGGAGCCTGGAGCCAGACCCCTGGACTCTAGTCCTAGCTTCACCATTTGCTGGCTATGTGACCTGTTCCTCTCATTTCTTCAGTAAAATATGTATGAATATTATGTGTCAATTTAAAAAAATACATTTGGATTAAAATCTATTTTAAAATTGTAGAAAGCTAGTTGTGTTGAGGATTGAATTAATAATATATGTAAAATTCTTATAAAAATCCCTTGTGCAGGTTGAGCATGGTGACATACATCTGTTAATCTCAGCTACTGGGGAAGCTGAGTTGGGAGGGTCACAAGTTTAAGGTCAGCCTCAGCAACTTAGTGAGACCTTATCTCAAAAAATGAAAAGAGCTGAGTATGTAGTTCAGTGGCAAAGCATCTCTGTGTTCAGTCCAAAGTACCAAAAAACCCAAAAGTTTATTAGTGTGTTTATTAGTCATAGTTGTCTTTGCCTAATATTATTACAATCAGTGTGATAATACAGGGAAGTGCAGTGTGGAATTGTGGAATTCTGTTGCAGGAAAATGCCCAGAGGTTTTTCTTTAGCTAGATGGCCATAGAAGTCATCCAAGTAGATGCAGAAGCTGTGGGCATTACATCTCTGTTTTTTGCCTGGTCTTTACTTCAGATGAAAGCTGGGCATATTTTCTGTAGGCCCTGGAGCACCTGCTGAGTTTGGTTGTGGGTGAGACGCATTGGTGCTAATGCTCTGCTCCACCAGCCTGTGGCAGTGCCTGTCAAGGTAAAGGAGATAGCCTGATAATAACTAAGCCCAGGGCCCACCAGACTCAGAAAGAGCCATTTCCCTTAGGTTTGTGCTGTAGTTCTTTCTGGGCTCCTAACTGGTGTTTTCTCCTTCCCCCGTTTCTCACCTAGATGGAAGAACTGGTGGGTGAGAGGCATCCTGTCTTTGGCCATGATTGCATTTTTCTTCATCATCATTTACCTGGGACCAATGGTTTTAATGATGATTGTAAGTGCCATTTGCATGTCATTTTAGTTTTACATTCTGTTTGTTCTACAGAATTATTGTCTTTAGTGCCAGATATTGGGTTGGCTCTGGAACTCAGTGAGGCTCCAGGCTCCTAAGAATACTTCTAAGCCTTAGACCATCTGTGACTTCTCATCTTTCAGTAGCTAACTGGAGGTTACTGGCATAGGCCAGTTATTTGTAGTTAAAGATGTCACTTTAAAAAAAAAATATTTTATTATTTTTTAATTTTCAGTGGACACAACATCTTTATTTTATTTTTATGTGGTGCTGAGGATTAAACCCAGCGCCCTGCGCATGCCAGGCGAGCACGCTACCGCTTGAGCCCCCCAGCCCTCGCTTCGTTTTTAATATTGAATTTATTATTACAGTTTAACTGTGACCCTGGCTGTGTGTTTCTGTGATTCCTGGTTTTGTTTCCTGCTCTTCTGGAACCTCACTTGAGGGCTTAGAGCTTTTGTTAAGAAGTCGCAGTCCACAGAGCTGCTCTTGGTCTTCCTGCTGTTATGGAAAGGGCCAGATGATGACAGTTGGCTGCTGAGCAGAGCAGTTGGGGTTTTTCAAATATTTATTACCAAAATCAAATGGGGACACAGTTGTTTGAGTTCTGGGAGGTTCTAGAATAAAAAGTTAATCTGAACATCAGCCATGGGAAGCTACTTCCTCTGACAGAGCATTGCCTTGTGGAATAGTGTTGAGGAGGAAGGGAGTGGGATCATCCTAAAAACTGAAGTTTTTATTTCGTGGTTTTGCTTAGGACCTGTGACCTGTTGTTTTTTGTTTCTGAAGATAATAAGAAGAGTGTTCTAATTCTTCTGTGTTTTGCAGGTAATGTGTGTTCAGATTAAGTGTTTCCATGAGATAATCACTATTGGCTACAATGTCTACCACTCCTATGACCTGCCCTGGTTCAGGACCCTCAGCTGGTAAGATCTCTGACCCAGAGGGCCCCTTACCTGATTTAGATGATGTGTTTTGTGGCATATATTTACATTGATGGTGGGACACGATAGAGTGCCCACCTTAGACTTGTACAAAACCTTTGAGCCATTCACAGACCAAACTTTGTGGCTGTTTTGAGTCTTCAGTAGCTACTAGGAGTCTGGAATCTTCCTCAGAAGAAATCAGATGGCTGTCTGAGAGGATTTGCAGTGGTATTGGGGTTCCTAGACTTTAGGGACAGGGATAGTATTTGGCCCCTCCAGCTTTCTAGCTCAGTATATTTTTCATGCTGTAGCATCCCAGCATTCCCCTTGGGTCTTTGGGGTTGTCAGGTTGCATATATTGCTGTCTTGGGAACTTGGTTTCGCCATCACTAAAACAGATGGTTAAGACTTCCTCAGTTGTTTTCAAATGATGGGATTGGAGTCCTACTTCCTTGGAGGTACTCAGGGTGCCAGTATGAGCAGGATGAAACTGAAAGCACAGGATCTGGACTCTTCCAGAGAAACTCTGCTTTTTCCTTCTCTAGAAAAGGACTTGGCTGCTATAAAGCAAAAACAAAATAAAGAACTGTACTGCATATGATATATGAGACTCCTTTCTGATTAGAAACTTTGCTTTCTTGACCACACTGTTTTCAAGTGGTGACATTTGAGCAGAGCATCACATAGTTCTGAGAAGACTGATAGCAAACATAGACTCTTCTACCCCACTATGCTGGAACCCCAGTTTATTTGTGACTTAGTGGGCTGGACAGTAGGGTTTTGTGCCCCACAACTTGGTCATGACTGTGGGAGTTGATGTGCTCAGAATTAGGCTGGACATATCCTTCCACGATGTCTCCCTGTCACCCAACAATACACACTGCCTCCCAGCCTCCAGATGAATCTGTGATTGCTCCCTGGCTTAGGGTGTAAGTCTCCATTGTGGCAGTTAAGATGTAGGTCTCTGTTGTGGCTGTTTTATAGGAGGACAGCTGTGTTTTGAATTTTGTTAATATACTCAGGAGGCCTGACCTCTAGCTGTGGTCACTTTCCAAAAGACTTTTTCATGAACAGAAAATAAACTAAATATGAGTTTTTTTAAAAAATTTTAAGTTGTATATGGACTCAATGCCTTTATTTGTTTTTATGTGGTGCTAGGATTGAACCCAGCGCCTCACACTTGCGAGGGAGGTGCTCTACCACTGAGCTACAACTCCATCCCTAAATATGAGTTTTTGAACTTCACAATTTAAAAAAGAAGGAAAGAGAAAATGTCTCTTCCCTTCTCTCCCTTGAATCCTCAGGCTTGGGGTGGTTCTGCCTGGTCCCATACTCAGAATCATCATGGAGGCTACTACACAAGATGTGAGCCATGACTTCTTGCCTCACAGAACTCCCTTGAAAGAGGATGTAAACAAGTGCAGAGTTAATCTAGTGAAAGAGTATGTGTCAGAGCCAGGCTTCCAAGTGGGAGATGCCCTGAGATGGAGTATAACTAACTGCCTAGTGAAATGAGCAAAGACTAGACTACTTGCTTTAGAAATAAATGGAGAGGTAGATAGCTTGTTAGACCATGTAAGGTTTTATGAAGAAAATGGTGTTTGAGCAATGAATGAATAAATGGATAAGTGAAGAGGATGTTCCAGGTGCGGAAGGGGGAGGATGGACCTTTTTGATAGAAGAGGAATTTTTGTGTGGGTAGAGCGGGATAGAGTCTGGGGAGGCAGAGTGAGGCACGTTTTAGAGGATTCTCAGGTTAGATATGGGAATGCCACAAGAGGGGCAAAAACCAAATCCTAATTTTGTGAAAAGGGAAAGTGAATAAAAGCTGCCACAAGTTTTTAGATGAACTGCTCACCTACAGTGTTAGCAGAGAGCAGGGAACCATAATCTGCTCGTCCCTCTGTGAGCTATCTCTGGGTCTCCAGGCAGATCGGGCTGCTGCTCTCTGTCCTTTCTTCCGTGCTTTCTGAGGGCTTCGCTGTAAAGGAGAGGCTGCATGTGCTCCTGCGGCACTGCCCTGTCTTCATTTCTAGGTACTTTCTACTGTGTGTAAACTATTTCTTCTATGGCGAGACAGTGACGGATTACTTCTTCACCCTGGTCCAGAGAGAGGAGCCTTTGCGGATTCTCAGTAAATACCATCGATTCATTTCTTTTACCCTCTATCTAACAGGTATGCATTAATTGCTTCACCAGTTCTTGTGTCTGTATTGTCTGTATTGTTTTCATCTGTCTGTATAGAAGGAGTTGGGAAATTCTTTTTTTTCTTTTTAAATTATATATATGTTGTTGATGGACATTTATTTATTTATTTATGGTGCTGAGAATCAAACCCAGTGCCTCACACATGCTAGGCAAGCCCTCTACCCACCGAGCCACAACCCCAACCCCGAGTTGGGGAATTCTTGTTTAAAGTTTTATAACTGGGACTGTGCTGGGGAGCAAGCTGAGGACTCGGTCGTACATTGAGCTGTTATAGCTCTTAATAAGAGAAATTGAGACCCAGGGAGTTGCGGTTATGGGGATGGCCATGGCTGTCTGTCCCACCTGCTTGAGTATCAGCCTCCTTATGAGGACCAGTGGAGCTTGTGTGGCCTTGTCTCAACTCTCTTGTTGACTGAAATTCTTCAGTGTGACAAACAAAAATCATTCAGTCAGTGACTGTCTTTTAGGGAAGTCATCATAGGAGCAACCTTGAGAAACATTGCAGTGTGGTGGAAGTTTCACTAGATTTGCCTTTGAAAAGATTCTATAATCTCAGTGGGCAAGGAATTTAATCTTTCTTTTTCTCTTGTGACACTGGGGATTGAACCCAGGGCCTTGAACATGCTAGGCAAGCACTCTTACCACTGAACTACATCACTTTTTATTTTTTAGTTGTATTTATTTTTTGGTACCAGGGATTGAACCCAGGGATGCTTAGCTTAGCTACTGGACTACATCCTCAGCCCCCGCCTGTGTGTGTGTTTTAATATTTGAAATAGGTCTTGCTTAAGGCCTCACTAAATTACTAAGGCTGGCCTTGAACTTGTCCTACCTCAGCCTTCTGGGGTGCTGGGTTTACAGGCATGCACCACCACGCCCAGCCCTTGTAATTTTTTGAGACAGGGTCTTGCTCAATTGCCAAGGATGGCCTTGAACTTGAGATTCTCCTGCCTCATCTCCCAAGTACCTGGAATTACAGTTGGCAATACAGTCTCAGTTACCTCTTCTGTGATCTAGAATTAAAACTGCAGGGCTATTGCAGTAGTTTTTGTGCTCTTGTCTTTGAAATTATGCACTGGTTAACTCCTGTGAAAAAATTAAAGGGCCATTTAACACAGCTAAATGAAATGACTAGAAGAAAGGTAAACATAGAGTGTGATTTATTTAACTCATTCCTCTTCCTCCAAACTAGGATTCTGCATGTTTGTACTGAGTCTGGTCAAGAAGCATTACCGACTGCAGTTCTACATGGTAAGGGGGGGGAGGGAGGGGAGGTGTGGGGAGAAGGAGGGAGGGAGGGAGAGAAGGGAAGGGAGAGAGAGAAGGAGAAGGAGAGAGAAAATGAATTCTTGTTTTAATTGAAGAGCTGCAGAAACTCAACAGATTTTTCATGCTTTGTGACATATCAAAATTCTGGAATGTGATCTATTCTGTATGTATCTGGAACCTTGAGACCATCTCTCTGAGTGCCCTAAGAGTTTAGTAAATACTATGAAAAAAAAAGTACCCATGCATCAGAGCATAGGACTCACTATTGGGCTATCCAGGCCCTACTTTTTATAGTATTGGGGATTGAATTTAGGGTGCTTTATTGCTGAGCTATATTTTTATTTTTTATTTTGAGACAGGGACTCACTAAATTGCTGAGGCTGTTTTCTAACTTGTGATCCTCATACCTCGGCCTCCTGAGTTGCTGGGATTACAGGCATGCTCCGCTGTGCCCAGCCACTCCCTGCTTTTTTTTTTTTAATATTTATTTTTTAGTTATAGGTGGACACAATACCTTTATTTTACTTTATGTGGTGCTGAGGATCAATCCCAGTGCCTCATGCATGCTAGGCGGGCACTCTACCTCTGAGCCACAACCCCACTCCCAATACTTGCTTTTGATGAGACTCTTATTGGGAGGGACAAAGTGTTACTCTCAGCAGCCTGTTCTGTATCTTTTTACTTCCAGTAAGTCAGGTACAGAAGCAGATCTTTTTTCTGTTTGTCATAAGTTTTCTGTTCTTTAAAGTTATTTCTAAGGTAAACTTGATAGTTTTTCTTCTTTTGCAGTTTGGGTGGACCCATGTAACATTACTGATTGTTGTAACTCAGTCGCATCTCGTTATCCACAATCTGTTTGAAGGAATGATCTGGTGAGTGATGGCAGCAGGAAGCATTTTCCCCCTCATTTTGTGGGTGTTTCTTACATACACCTAGGCTGAGAACCCCTGCCTTCTCTTCCAAGCCAGTGGTTCTCACCTTGAGCTATTCAGAATAGCCTTTAAGCTAGTTACAACACAGATGGCTGGTTCAGTAGATCTGGGGTAGGGCCTGAAATTTTGGATTTTTCTAGTACATTCCCAGGTGATGCTGATGCTGCTGGTCAGTACCTAAATTCTAAAAATCTGTTCTAGACTAACAGGTACAGGGATATTTGATCAAAATTTATAACTGTACAGCAACCTGAAATTTGAAAACATAGAGGGAATATTCAGGAGTTCCTAGAAAATTGTGAACTGCTAATAGTTATAAACAAACTTGAATATATCAGTGACTATAGAAGAACTTTGAAAATTGTGTAAATTCAATACCTAGAAGAAAGAAATGGGACCAAGCAGGTTAATAGCTGAATGTTATCTAACACACCAAAGCTGATGAGGAAGAAGCAAGAACCATCCTAAATAAAATATTAGCAGGTTGGATCTGGCAGTGTGTCAGAAGAACATTATACTATTACTGAGTAGATTTAATTTTAGAAACATAGTGGTTTTAACAGGAAATGTGTCAGCATTGATAGGAACCAGCAGAATGACTAAGAAGCTAGGTGATCTTAGTGGAAAGGTAAAGGCACATCTTCAGGTAATGAGAGACATGCTTAAGTATTGTGGGTCACATCCAGACTGCCTCTCTCTTCAAATGTTAGAGTTAGAATGTAGTTACATTCACCTCCTGAGGAACTGACAAGTCAGCAAATCTAAAGAGATTAATTAGCTCATATAAATGTTAGCTTTGGGCATTATTATATTTAAAACAATTATAAAGGCCTGAGTAGGCACTATTTCCTTTTCAAATTTCAGTGTTCTTATTATGCATTTCTTTTTTTTTTAATATTTATTTTTTAGTTGGACACAATATCTTTATTTATTTATTTTTATGTGGTGCTGAGGATCGAACCCAGAGCCTCGCATGTGCTAGGCTAGCACTCTACCACTGAGCCACAACCCCAGCCCCCTTATTATGCATTTCTTAAGAGTAGCATGTGCTAAGTCCTCAGATTCATGGCTAAACAAGTCAGTTGAGTCTATAGTGACTAATATTAAATTCTTCAGTGAAGGCCGGGTGTGGTGGTGCACACTGTAATCCCAGTGGCTCAGGAGGTGGAGGCAGGAGGATCGTGAGTTCAAAGCCAGCCTCAGCAATTTAGTGAGGAACTAAGCAACTCAGTGAGACCCTGTCTCCAAATAAAATTCAAAATAGGACTGGGGATATGACTCAGTGGTTGAGTGCCCCTGAGTTCAATCCCCAGTACCGTCCCCACCCCAAAAAAGTCTCCAGTGAAGGTTTAATCATTGTTATAGTGCATTGTTATAGAGACTGTTCTACAAGCCTTGACAAAGTAAATAATGTGGAGTCTGGAAGATAGAGTGGGAAGGGTTCACATACTCCAAATTTCTCCCTCAAGCAGGAAGTTAGGAAATCGTGCCCACAGTTGCTGGGCCAGGAAATCAAGATTTATTTCTGTCATGTTAAATTAATAGAAAAACTTTAAAAAGTGTCTTGAGGAGGGTGGAGAGTGAGGAAAGAGATGGTATGAGTATAAACACCACCTGTCTTCATGGTGGGGGTGATTGGTTTAGCAAGAGGAGGGCAAAGAAGAAATACAGGTGTGCTTATTGGGGTTTTGTTCCAAGGGTTGTCCTAGGGAAAAGTAGGGCACACGAGTGCTAGAAATAAGCAGTGAAAAAAGTAAGTTAGCTACCAAATATATATGTATAAAGTTTTAGAAATGTACAGGTAACTACTCGAAAAAAATTAGGTAAGAGTAAAAGTGGTTATTTTGGAGACTGGAGAATAGGGATGGGGGGGGAAGAAGGAAAAAAATTTTTTCTCCTTTTACAATTTATATTTGTATTATGTGTATATATTACTGTATAATGAAAAAAGAATAGAATGACATTTATAGATACTCTCCATTTATTCAGCAGTCATTCAGTAAACATTTTAATGCCTGCTGTGTGTCAAGTATTATGTATGGATTTTGGTGTTTACTTTCTTTGTATTTTATACCACAATAGGTTACAAATGCACTATCAGCTTTTTGGTTCTGGAATTTATGAATGGCATTGTTGGTGGACTACTGAGGTACTGTCATCTTGGTAGAGTTGATTCTCACTTTGTTTTGTTTCCTAGGTTCATTGTCCCCATTTCTTGTGTGATCTGTAATGACATCATGGCCTATATGTTTGGCTTTTTCTTTGGTCGGACTCCACTCATCAAGGTAAACGATCACCCTAACATAAAATATCACCATGAGGGTAGGATGGTGTTTTCTATATGAGTAGGTTAATGTGGCAGACAGAAGGAAATCTAGCTGGTGTGCACTGTGGCTTTGTAACCATGTGCCCCTGGGGGTAGACTGGTAGTAAATTAATTGTAAGGGAAAAGCCAAAAGAAAACATCGACAACTACTCATTAAAAAAAAAAAAAAAAACTAACGAAATGTTTCTATAGACTTAAAGCACACTCGTAGAGCTTTGATCTGATTTGAGTGTTGTGATTAAATTAGTATGTAGTTTAATAATAAGAATATTTGAAACAGAAAGGAAACTGAAGGGTATAATTTAGGGAAAAAGGAAGCCATGTTTTGGAAATTTTAGAAGGTAATGTGGTTAAAAGAATTGGGTTTCTTTTTCTTTTTTTTTAATTGATTTTTTTAAAAAAAATACAGCGGAATGCATTACAATTCTTATTACTCAGATACAGCACAATGTTTCATATCTCTGGTTAAGAATAGGGGTTTTAGGACAGAGATATTTTTCACAGTAATCTTTCCAAAGCCTGAGTCACTGACATCCTTTGCTAAGAATGTGCTCTCTGTCCACAGCTTTCTCCAAAGAAGACCTGGGAAGGCTTCATTGGGGGTTTCTTTGCTACTGTGGTGTTCGGCCTTCTGGTAGGTGGAGGTTCCTAGCCGGGTGGCAAAGGGGACAGAGGCCTCACTCCAACTTCAAAGGCCTGTGCAGGGCTAGGGAGTGTGTCTCACTAGATAAGGAACTCTGTCCTGCTGATTACCTTGCCCCAAAGAGATGCACGAGCATGGAACACTCTGTGAGGGGTACAGTAGTGCTGGCTGTTCTTTACCCACCAGTTTCCAGGCAGGGTTTTGGCAGTCGTGAGATGAGGAACCTTGTAAACCCTCTCATCCCTAGGCATGGTGATACTTCAGCAGACAATGTTCTTGTCCAGGCATTTGGTATTTCAAGATCAGGGTGAGTGACACCCAAGAGTAAGGGCTGAGGTGAGATAAGCTTCTCCAGCCCTGAATCTTTCCTACTTATAACCTGCCAGAGGTAGATGATCTTTCAGCCCTTTAAAGGACACCACTTCCTTCCTCGGACCTTGAGGCCAGTCTCTCCCTTTTTTAGTGTTGCCTGACTGTCCCTTAGTGCTGCTCTCCCCTGGCTTTATTACGTCTAGCCTTCTTTCTCCTGGTTGGCTGCTGTCATTGTACCATACTCCCATGACCTCCCTCCAGTTGTCATTGAGTTTAGAGATCCTGAGAAAATAGATTAGAGCTCCCCCATATGGGAAGAAATGTCTTGTAGTTAAATTCCTTTTCAGGGTCCATGTGTTTGGGCACATCTGAGTGAGACCTCAGTGAGCATAAACCTCTTTTATTAAAAAACATTCAGGTAAAATGCACATGTGGTAAAACATGAACCTCTGACTTTGTACATAGCTTGCAGTGAGCAGGATGTGGACACTGAGGAACAAACGTGTCCAAGCCAGATGTCGGCCATCCTGATGAACGCAGCTCGTCTTCATTCCTGTGTCTCTCTCCCTCATTTTCAGCTGTCCTACGTGATGTCTGGGTACAGGTGCTTTGTCTGCCCTGTGGAGTACAACAACGACACCAACAGCTTCACTGTGGACTGTGAGCCCTCGGACCTGTTCCGCCTGCAGGAGTACAACATTCCTGGAGTGATCCAGTCAGTCATTGGCTGGGTATGTGCCACTCACATGGGGTGAATTGGTGGGACATGACTGCAAAGAGGAGCCCCCTCCACCACCTACCCTCCAGAGCCACTAGCTTCAGGGTGAGGGCAGGAGACCTTTCCCCTCACTTTACATCTTTTAGGGCAGTGGTTCTCAAAAAGTGTGTTTTGTGGGTTCCTTTAGAGGGATCCTTCAGGTACCAACTGTTTTCATAATATTACTATGAATTTATGTGCCTTTTCCACTCTGCTCACATTCTCTATGATGGTACAGAAACAGCAGGTGGGAAAAAGGCCAGTGTCTAGGCATGAGTTAAGGCAGTGGCACAAATAGGGCTGGCAGGCAGTACCCTCTTCATGCCACCTCCTTACAATGCAGACAAGCCAGTTGCTCTTATATTTTTGATGAAATGGTAAAATTGCTAATTTTATTAAAGTTTGACCTTGAGTGCACATGAGGTGTGCACTTTTAATACTCTGCTGAAATGGAAAATGTGCATAAAACATTCCCTGCTAAATATTGCTGTGTGCCTGAAGGTAAAGCATGTGCAGTTGTTTGGGTTGTGGAATGAACAATCTGTTTTTTTCTAGGAACATAATTTTTATTTGAAAAGAATGGCAAAACTATCTTTTCAGATTGGGTATTTAGCAGACATTTTTCTGAGAAGGAACGAAGTGAGCTTGTCACTCAAGGAAAACGACAGCAAATGCTAACCAATGATAGAACTTGGCTTCTAAGTAAAAGTTTGTATTTTGGAAACATGTACCTGCCACTGTAAGCATGACAGCCTCCTACTCCTTAAAGACTTTTCTGATGAGATCCATAGTGATTTTAGTAGGTGACATTTTGACATTGGATAATAAAATGTGTCTACATTTGGAAGATTAATATAACTTAGCAATCCTGTATTTTCTAGATGGTCAATGCATGGTTCCACAGTCACACATGGGCAAAAGATTTCATTCAAAGTGTGAGACGGATGATGTGAGAGAGCACGAAAAATTAATCTGTAGGATTTCAGATTCCACATTGCATCCAATTTTTAAGAAACAGCCTCTGTCATATTCTGGTGTAGTGTTAATATGCATTATTATTTGAGAAGACTACTAAAAATATGCTTCATTTTTGAACTATATAAGGCTGGATTTTCTTTATATACTTTCACCAAAATATTGCAGCAGGTTGAATGCGGAATATTTTTTGGGGGAGGTGGGGTCTGGGAATTGAACCTAGGGGTGCTTTACCATTGAGCTACACCCCCAACTCTTTTTATTTATATTTTGAGATGTTCTTGCTAAATTGCTGAGGCTGGCCTTGAACTTAAGATCCTCCTACCTTAGCCTCTTGTAGCCGGGATTATGGGCATGCACCACCATGACTGACCTGAATACAGAATACATTAATGTCTTCCATTAAGCCAGATGTTAGAAATTTATAACAATGTAAAGGAAAAAATCTACTCTTCTTCTTGATTAAAAAAGTGTAATTAGTTTCATCAAGAGTTATTTCTCTTCACATGTAATAAGGCTGGATTTGTATGCATCTTGACTTTTATTTCACTTATTTTTTCCTAGAAAACAGTCCGGATGTATCCCTTCCAGATTCACAGTATTGCCCTCTCCACCTTTGCCTCACTCATCGGCCCCTTTGGCGGGTTCTTTGCAAGTGGATTCAAACGAGCCTTTAAAATCAAAGTAGGCAAAGGTTTCCTCTTTATTCCTTTCATCTCACTCTCCTTGCCCATCTTCTGCCTTCCTCCCCTCTTTCCTACCCCATTAGCCATCAACATAGCACCAGACTCTGGCACCCTGGTGATTAATACATGCTCTTCTTGACCCAGGTGCTGCATTCATGTGGGTTAAACAAAAGTATATTGTTTCTAAGAAAATTCTATAGTTGGTTTTCAGTTTGTTAATTTTGTTATCTCTTTAAAAGAACATTTTGTAATTTATTAAGCTTGTATTCTATAATTGCCTTATCATTTGATTTAGTTCTTTTTCTTGCCCTTGACTACCTAACACTGCAAAAGTTATTTCTATTCACATGTAATAAGGCTGGATTTGTATGCATCTTGACTTTTATTTCACTTATTTTTTTCTAGAATAAAAAATTGGGGTGGAACATTGGGGTGGGACAGTCAGTCTGGTGTTTGGTTGTTGACCGAAGCCAGGCTTGCCTGTCCTTCTCTGCCTTAAACAGGACTTTGCCAATACCATTCCTGGCCACGGAGGCATCATGGATCGCTTTGACTGCCAGTACCTGATGGCCACCTTTGTCAATGTATACATTGCCAGTTTTATCAGGTATAGTGCCTTTCTATCTGAACCAAGTTGGCGGCTTTGTAAGTATGGTGCATTTCTAGAATTTTGGCTACATCTAGGTTCCAGTGAAAAACCATCTCAAATATGAACTCAGTTTCAGTTGTCACTGTGCATGAGGCCCCATTCTGCCCTTAGAAGAGAATCCGCAGATCAAAGCAGCAGTTTGCATAATCAAGCCCTAGAAGCAGTTGGGCCTACTCAGGGCTGTTTCTTCATGTTCTGTTGCAGAGGCCCTAACCCAAGCAAATTGATTCAGCAGTTCCTGACCTTGCGACCAGATCAGCAACTCCACATCTTCAACACGCTCAAGTCTCATCTGACTGACAAGGGGATTCTGACAGCCACCACAGAGGACGAGTAGGGGCCACCCAGGGCCAGGAGAGCAGGAGCAGAACTGAGTGCAGGGCAGGTCTCCAAGGCAAGCCCAGCTGCTGTGACTTAGACAATGACAAGCTTCAACTCACTGTCTTTTTTTTTTTTTTTTTTGGTTGGGGGGGGAGGTTTTTTTTTTTTTTTTTTTAATTTGTGGGTTAAAAAAATATGTATATACTGTCTTTGTGTTTATGATTTGGATTGTGAGTAAACTGTAGTTGAGTTGGAAATAAGTCATGAGGGCAAAACCATTTGGGTATATTAAACAGAAGTATTGAACAACCCGGAAGACAGTGTTGCCCAGCTCAGGATGTGATCCCTATCAAGCTGTTACTGGACCCAATGAGAGTGGCATTCATCTGTGTGAACCCATTTAGGTGGCTCTCCCACTAGTGCTGGGCACACGGCTTGGACACTTGCTGTTCTTGACAGCATTCACTGGCTCTTCTCTACCAGTGCCTGCCTGGGAGCTGTGGAGGGTTGCCTTCTCTAGGCTGAAGGAATGGAGGCTTATTGATCAGAGGAGCATTCTGTCCACACTGAAGCCCTGCAGAGGCTAAAAGAAGCTCTGCTTTATGTATGGTTTCACTTCATTTCAGACTGAAAGAAGGTTTTAGTTTTTATTTTTATTTTTGAAAGCATGAAAAATTATTTATGATAGTCTGGAAAAAACCCACACTGTAATATTTCAAGTGTATGCAGTAGAAGCACTGTAACTGAGCCCCTTCCCATGATTTAGGCTCCAGTGTCTCCTGGAGGACAGTCCAGTGAACTTTGTCTTTTCAGGGCTGAGGCTGTTGGCATTTGTGCTGTAGACTTGCTGCTGAGTCCTTCCTGGGGACCCTAACCGGCGGCAGGGAGAGAGGGCTTTTGGTTTGCACGCCCCTCGCTGAACACCATGTAGCTGCTGTGTTGTGTATATATTACTCTTGAGGCAAGTATGTGTCTATGTTTGTTCTAAAACACCCTTATTTCTTACCATGATTTCAGTTATACCATGACTTGTTCATTGAAACCATAAAGTCCTGCTAAAAACTATGGCATAACTAACCTATGAGAGGCCTGGCTATTCTGAAGATTAAATGTATACTTTTTATATAATGTGACCAGTTTCAATGTAGTGTGTATTTTACTGAGGACCTTTTGTTGTAGTTACTGTTTGTGTAAACTGGTTTATTTTTCCCCCTCCCTACTCATCAGGGTGAGATGGGCTTTGGGAAAATGATTAGTTCTTTGGCCAATGCACAGTCAAGCACAGGGGAGAGAACCTGGTGTACAGATGTGTTAAAATTATTCCATGGCATGGTTGCTTTCATTGCCAGTGACAGCAGGACTTGCTTCAGCACCTTGGTCTGGTTTGATTTATGCTGTGAGTAAACTACAGCTCTGAGTTGGAAAGTCACTGGGGTAAGACCATTGGGTTTTTAAAACAAAGTATTGAAGAACCTGGAAGACGGTGTTACCCCCCTTTGGAAGTCTGGTTGGTTCTGGCTCCAAGTGTGTTTTTTTTTTTTTTAATGTTGGCCTTCCTGCCTCCTGAAGGCTCATAATCAGCCAGGTGACTGAAGCATCCACAGGGGACTCTAGAGCCCTTACAGTGTTTGAACTCACATATCTGTGTGATCCCTCCTCGTGGGTGTGAAGCAGCTGTTTTTTACTGAACTGTCACTTTAGTTTCAGCTTCATGGTTTTTTCTTTTTTGGGCCCAAGGTCCTCTTAAGAACAAAACATGTTATGCTGGAGGTTTATATTCTGGCTATGTGTTCCTGGGCAGGAAGCCTCACTGTAGGGTCCTCATTTTCTGAGCTTCTTCTATTACACTGTTCTGTGATTCCCCAGAGCAAGTTCTTATTACTCATGGGCACCCGAAAAGGAAATGCTTTCAGGTCTTTTCTAAATGTTTGTCCTCAAGATGTGTCAGTGTCTTAGCAACTAATCTTCAACAGTGATTAGGAGTGAAATTAGTTTTCTGATTGAAGAATGAACTTGGATCACCAAACTAGGTATAGAAGGGTACCTCCTTTGTCTCTTGTGGCCTCATTGTGGGCAAGTGGTGAGGTTCTTATGAACGGAGGGGGAGAGGGTATCTCAGTGGGGGCCCAGGAGTTGGGACTCACTCTGATACCAGGCTGCCTTTGGATGGGGGAGCCTGGGGCCAGCAGCTGAGGGTTACCCTCCTTTGTGGAAGTGGTCACTGACAGAGGATCCTGGGAAACTAAAGCTGGATACTCACTAGTGCTGTCAGCAAGAGGCCAGAGTGGCAGCTGGGTTTTTTTTTTTTTTTTCTGATTTCCCTAAGTGCTTTCTAGTGGAGGAGGAATTTCCCAGTCAGGTGGAGAGGAGAGCAATGCCACCTTGTGTCTGTATGACAGTGTTTCTTTCTCCCACTTTCAGACAAGCTCCAGAGACTATTTTAACATGCTCCCAAGCAGATCCTAGTGACTTGTGCAACCTGTTTTAAACCCATTTTTTTTTTTTTTTGTCAGAAATAAAATGTGACTGGAACTGTGTGCCCTCCCTTGTCATGAATCCAGTATTTGTCACCTCCATGCTTAGTTATGTGTGTGTCCCACTTGTTTATGTATTCATAAGTAGTATGTAGTCCTGATTCAGAGATTTTTGCTTTGTTTTGCAATTTGTATCCCATACATTCCCAGCAGCCTTCTGAGGTAACCGAGAGAGCCACGAACACCTTCCCAAGAGAGAGCTTCCGCAGGGTAATAAGGTGGAGTCGGGACTATCTCCATCTCACACTGTGAGCCCCACAGGACAAGGACGGCTGGTGCCTCAGCCAGCTCCACCTGAAATGTTACAGCATTCTCCCCCTGAGGCTCAGGAGGCCTGGCCCCTGCCAGGTTGGAGCTTCAGTTGCTGTTAGCTCACCCTGGTGAATAAGGAGATGACGAACTAACCAGGGCTGACATGGAGGCCTGGGCCTGGGCATCCCTGGTGAGTTCCACTTGGGCTGCTCACCGTGCTCGTGGGGTTCTGAAGTTTCCCTTTGCTGGTGTGCGCCACCCTCTTAAATGCTTCCAACACCAAGAAACGCACACAATTGTGTTTACTCCTGAAAGTGAAGCCTTGAAGACAGCTGGGCCTTATTATGTTTATTCCTTTTTTGCCTGTTTCATATTCGGAACCATTTAGTAGCTGTAGTGTAATCACATTTACAAAGTATTTATTCTTAATGTTGTATAGTTCTACAGTGTATGTGGGAGGTGAAGCATAACTTTAAACTATATACAGGTGAACTTTGACATGGACTTTTATCCTATAACTTGATCTGTATTATTCAAGAAAATTCTAGAAAATATATTTTAAGGGAAAGTACACAGACCCTGTGACTTGTGTGTAGGCTAGTTGTAGAATTGGCAGGAGGCTAATTTGAACGGATCTCCAAGTTCAGCTCCTCACCGTGGGCCTCAGTAAGCTCAGGTCCATCCGCTGTTGAGTGTAGGGTGGGGAGAAGGTGAAAAACTCATGGCGCAGAGCGTCCTTTCTAGGAAGACTGTAGCGTGCTCCCTATGAAGCCAGCCCAGGTGGATGTCCAAGGGAGATTTCATTACTCTGCCAAATGTGGTATGTCACTGTCCAAATCTCTCCCTGTTCTAGTAATATCTTAGGTACCTTTGTCTTCTGTCTTTCAGAGTAACTCCACCTTGGCGTATGGTTGTGCACACTGTGCTTACATGTGGAAAAAGGGGTGAAGTGGGAAGGGTGATTTTTTTTTTTTTTTTTGAATCCAGGGTTCCTTTTCTTCTCAGGTAAGGGTGGGGGAGATGTCCAGGTGACCGTCATAGACACATCACAAGACAGTAAGCTGGTTATGGACTCTATACTTGTCTGGAACACAGGATTCCACAAAGGGCAGCAGGGTCACACTGTCAGCAAATTCTTGGTCAGAACCTCATATTCCTTTTTTAATCATGGTCAAAACCAACTTCCTTTCCCCTTTATCTCTGTCCTCAGGGCTGCCCAGCTTCCAGTTTTTAAGGAGTTGAACAGCTGTGACTTCCTGTCTCAGTTTGTGGTGTTAGATGGGGGCCTTATGGCACAGTCCATAGAGGGTGCTAGGGTTTGGATCCAGTAGTGATGAAGGGTCCTCATTTAAGGGCTCTGCTGGGCCTACTTCTCCTTGAGCCTGGGCTCTCCCAACCCACATCCCTTGGAAGATGGCCCATCCTCACAGGCAGATGACTAGCTACTGTTTCCATTTGAGTGTGGCCCACCTTTCTGCCCCTTCCATTTCCCACACGCCTCACTTCAGGTTGACCATGGTGACGGCTTTTGATGGAGATTGTATTTTCCAAGGCCAGACATTACCGTTTTGAGGGCAATTTAGGAGGAATATTTTGGATGCTAGAGTGGAAGGGTTTTAGGACATGTGGGTGATTTATGAGAATAAAAGGGGTAGAATATGTGAAGTCTAGGGCTTTATGGCCAGTGGGTTTCAAATCCACTTGTTGTTCAAAGACCCTGCTCCCACTCCTTTGCCAGTGCCTATTCTCTGCTTCTCCTTATTCTCTAGCTAACGTGACATTATCAGTGTATTTATTAATGATTGTAATCATACAGTGCTTAATATGTGCCAAGCACAGTGCAGAAGGTTTGCATACATTATTCCCTTAAAAACATAAACCAGCCTTGGATTAGGTTCCCATTTTGCAGATGCAGAAACTGAGGCTCTGTGAGGGAGGCTGAGAGCATTGGTTAAGACAGACTTCAGGCTGGGATAGCGTGAGCTGTGGGCAGATTGCTAGTCTACTGTCAGCCTCCACCTCTCTGACCCAGTTGGAACTGAAATTGATCAGGAGGATTTAATGGGATAATGTGTGCCAACATTTAGCTCGGTGTCTGGCACATAGTAAGCGCTCAATAAATAGTAATTTTTTTGAGCTCAGCTGGCAGTTTGACCCACACTGGTATAATGCCAGAGACTGGGTTCTTGGCTATCACACTGCCACTGCCCTGGACACAACCTGATGCTCACGGTTTGGAAAGTGACTGCACAGTCCTTCTGAGAGTAGTAGTCCAACTGTAGCACCCTACTTGAGCATCTTGGTGGTTTACACATTGTTTAGGAGGCACACCTGATCAAAGGAAAGAGGGCTTTAGGATGTTCAGAAATTCTCAGTTCATAGCGGGAGTGGCTTGCCTGAGAGTTGTCCGCTTGCTGTGGCCTTGGTTTGGACTGCCCATGGGGGAGAGGCCGTTTCCTCTTGCCTGGAGGTGCCTCTGCTCTGGACAGTGAGAGCTGTTTCTGACTCATTCTGGACTCCACTTCCTACCCTGGCTAAGCTCTGTGCACACAGCTCAGGAACCTGTAGTTTCCTGGATGGTTTCAGGGGCCAAGAAGAGTGAAGAAAACAAACTTGTGCTGAAGCAGGTTACGTCAGCTGGAAGCCTCGAAGCTCTGTCCCTATCCTAACAAATCGGCCTTGTTTTTGTGTTTTCCTGAAGGCATTAGGATAGAGCAGGTGAGGACAGGTGGTGTGGATTGTTTCTCTTGGATTCTGGGTTAGCAAAGCATTCAGTGGCTTATTCATGAATGAAGGGAGAACAGGCACTGGATTAAGTGAAAAATGTTTCTTTAACTTAGTTTCTGAATGGAGACAAGGGAGTTGGGGGATGTGTTGAAGTGGAGGTGTCCTTACTCTGAAGGAATGATTCTGGCCAGTGGGATCCAGGGGATTCTTACGCCGGTTGAATGATCATGTAGAACTAATGGCTTGACTGGGGACTGTTTGTTGGGTGTAGTGAGCCCCTAAGGCCCATTGCTAGAATTTAAATATTGGTTTCTTCCCTTCAGTTCATGATTGAGGGTGATGATAATGACAGTGGTTGTGGAGGTTTTTAGTAAACAGCTACTGATCTGGGCTTGTCCTGGAGGCCCTCGTGTCTTTTCAGTATCCTACCCCTGACACTTCCTCCCTCCTTGTGCTATCTACCAGGCCCAGGCAGCCCTTTATCTGGAGAGGGTGGCTGGATACCCGGTGGACCGTCCTGCAGTGCTCTCCCAGGCACTGGGCAGGCCTCGCTCTCAGCTCCTAGATGACTTCCCTTTTCTCCAAGTAAAATTGTGTTTGCTGGTGTGAGCCACACAGCC